ACAAAAGAGACATTAACCGGTATCGGCACCCTCGGGATTTGGCACGCATGCACGCACCGCACACCTACCAAGATCGTCTCTGATTCCATCCACGAGTCACTGATAGGGAGCACTTTTAACTCAGTGGATTGTTTTAATATTTAATTAAAAAGTAAAGAATATCTTATGCTATTTTTATGTACGTTTCTTCACAAAACTATATTCATACAATCGAATATTTTGTACCAGGTATGTATAATTGTATATCCATCACACATTTTATTTTAACAAGTAAGTTTTTATAATTTTATTTTTAATTTTAGCCGTTACATTATGGCTAGCAATTTAGAATGTAATTGTGATATTGAAAATTTATTTCAAAAAGTTTTGGCTCGAGACCATATAATGAAAAAGAAAACATTATTAAAAGCCTAAACCAATGCCTAAATTAAATATAAATACGTCAACAAAAAAATTTGTTCGACATTTTCACGATAAAATTTATGAAGATATAAAATGGCTTTGTGGATGCATAAAAATGCAAAAATTGTTTTGTTGGCCTTGCCTACTATTTTCAGATAAAATTAGTGTGTGGAATGAGATTGGCTTTGACGATTTAAATAATTCGAGTAAAGCTGGCAAAAGACACGAAAATCCTAAATCTTGCATCAAATCTTTTGTAAAATTGAAGCAATTTGGAAATCAGAATAGAATAGAATTTAACATTAGTAAACAATATAAACCAAATATTGAAAATTATAACAAAGTTATGGCTAATATATTATATTTTAATTAGTAGATGTTATCGAAGCGAGAATTGGCATTTAGAGGGCATAGAGAATCTATAAATCTAATATAACAGAGTTAATTATATTGAACTTGCTTATTTATTAAGTGCATTAGATAATCTATTAATTAAAAATACATTTAGAGAAGTCTACAGTTTTTACTGGCTTATCGAACAAACGAATACGATGGACCATAGACCATCACTGACTAATTGCCCCTGGAAGTTGGCTTCCTACAGAAACACAGCTTCCTTGTCATCAAATGTCATGGCACGCCACTGGATAATATGTGGCTAAAGTTTACAGTTAGTTTTTATATATATATTGGGGTTATAAATAAAACACTTTCTCACTACATGACTACAGGAAAATATTGTCTAGTGTTTGCTCTTTGCCAGAATTGTTATGCAAAAACCCATCTGATAACCTCATTAACCAGCAAATCGTGTAGATCATGCAAATCAAGTTCACCCATTTTAGATTTGTGTCAAATTCTCAAAGATATTCTGTTGGAATGTATTTAATTTTGTTTTGGATTTTATTTCAATTTTTGTGTTCTGCCACATAAGTCATGTTGCATGTTTATACATAGCTAGTTGCATACTTAAAATAAACATTGTTTATGCTATCTATGAAACTTGGATCACATTTTACCCAACTAGAGCTTTGCTTGAAATGAAAATTCCTTATGCACTTCTGAAAAATTCTTGGCTTAGTGTAATAGTCTACCACTACCTTATTAAAATTAAAGCATCTCTCTATCATGATTTACAAATAATTTTAGTGCTATTTTAGTAATCATCTTCAGTATATAGTATCCAAATAGAGTAAACACAGTTACAATTTTTTACATGGAAATTAAGTTTTCAAGATAGCTGAAAATCATACAATGAGAGTAAGACAACAGTTGGTTCAAATGCTTTTTTTTTTTTTTTTTTAACCTCATGAGTTTACCTTATTTTTGTGGATTGTCCGGCATGTCAATCTATCTGGGAAGACCATGAAATCAGATATTTCCATACAGTAAAAACAGGCATGCTGGTTTATCTTGGGTTTATACATCCCTCTTTAGAGTTCATGAAGAAACAAACAAGTTAATTTCTTCATTTTGTCTTCTTTCTAATGATTTAAAATACTCTTGGAATTCCAAAAATGCTTTATGTGTATTTTATTGTAATTTGATTCAAAAACACAAAAATAAACCTATAAACCTATTAAATTTAACAAACTTCCTGTAAATTATCTTAAGTTATATCTATTAACATTTCTTTTGCATGAAATTTGAAAGATGTTATTTTTAAGATCAGGGTAGATGGTCAGTGTAGCTGACATTGACTAACTACTAATACTACCACTACTGTCAATAACAAGTTAATTGTTTTATTGTCTTGTAAACAAAACTCTCTCCCTGATTTTAAATCAGTGAAATTATTTTATTGTACTCGGAAGAACGTTTTTTGTAATATTTCATTAACAACCAGTCTTGTTAGATCTGATTAATTTTATATATTAGTCACAGTTTAACCAGCATGCCAGTAACCAGAGTTTCCAGCATGCTGGTCTCCACCATTTATATACGGCATGCCAGTCATTCTGCAAAAATATGGTATATTTTAAAGTTTAATTTGTGCATTTTGTTAATATGAACTTTGGACTTTATTTAAAGCTATTTTGTATGTGTGCATTTTATTTAATCATATATATCTGTTATATTTTCTTGATACAGAATACAATGAAAATATTTATTATTATGTTAATNCGTACGTGCGTTAATCAAGCCGAATAGTTTGACCGAATATTCGGCCAGGAGCGTAGCCGAATAGTTTGGCCGAATATTCGGCTATTCGGCTACGCTCCTGGCCGGATTCGGTATTCGGCCTGAGGCCGAATATACTATTCGTTACAACACTAAAATAAAGGTAGTAAGAAAGTATATATTTTTTTATTTTGTGGGGTCTCCAGAACCAATTAATCAAATTCCCATAGAAACCTATGGTAAATCGATAATCGGTTAACGAACAATTCGGATAGCGAACAAAGTCTTGGAACGGATTATGTTCGTTAACCGATCACCCACTGTATTTCTATTTAGTATTTGAATATTAGTTTGTCTTCATATAGTTTGAAATACCCTGTCAGCAGTTTATATAACATAATGTTTGGTATGGTAAGCCAGATGAAACGTGAAAGGACAGGAAAGAAAGATCGCCGATATAGTTGAGTCTAGGGAGGGTATTTATAATAGGGATGGGTGAAAATAAAGCATAAGTAATAGAAATAAAGCAATAGTAATAAGAAATAATATAAAAGTGCTCAAAAGCACTCATATTATTTCAAATTTCAGAAAGAAATTTTTACCGGTACAATAAAAATAGCATTATAATGCTATTTTTATTGTACCGAATCTTATTTATTTATGTTATGTTATCATTATTTTTACATACAAGAAATATGAATTTAAGATCTTAATAAATATAAATAAACTGTACTCCAAAGCGTATCGAATTACTTTTTGATATTTTAAAATACGACACCAAGAAAGTTGATTTTGAAAGTCATCTATGAACTTTTCATTTCATTTTCGGTATCTGGAAATTAGGTTCCAGTTTAAAACGTCTTGTAATTCATACTTAATATTTAACTGTTGATTCAAAACTTTATGTATTTAATGTTTAATAAATTGACGGAGATAATATGACATCGAGCTACTTATTCCTATCAAGGTACGATGCACATCATCTGGTGAATGTTACATCGAATTAGGGCGCTTATTAGAATTAAGAAAGTATCGTTGGAAAATGAAAAAAACCCATTGTTGGGATTATTCGGAATATATTAATTATATTCTTAATAATACTTACTATTAATATGTCTCGTATACGATCATATAAATACAAAATACTGAGCATCAAAAATTGTCTTAAAAAACAGACACTGAAAAATAATAGGAAAAAAATTGGCGAATTGGTGAAGCGATTATGTCGCTTCTTCCCTGCATTGGAAGAAGCGACATAATCGCTTTATTTTCTATTTTAAAAAAAGGCTTGGAAACAGGTCGACGACATTATAAAAGCATAATTGAAAACACTATAAACTTGGGCATTGGTGATCGAGTCGTATAGTGGCAGCCTGCTATGCGGATGGCCCGGGTTAACCAACATCAAATATCCTCTTTCTCAGATATGTTTTATCGTTCAAAGTTATTCAGAGTTTTTATTTTTTTAAATATTTTTATGATAATAATGTTAATATATATATAAATTCCAAAATAATCGTGATAGTTAACCAATTTTTATTTTTATTTTTACAATTCAAAGTCACAAGTTCGAGATTCTCAGGTGACGCTCCGGAACATAAACATGCCTAATGGATTAGGGGGCGGCTGAACTGGTAATTATAAAATATGGATTTGATAAAATTTATTTATTATGATCGTTATCAGACTGTATTATTGAATTTGGGAAAGTTTGATATAATGCGGAAGATATGTAACAACATTTATAAGACAATCCATCTCTGAAACATTCACATCTTTTACCTCAAAAATCCAAACTATTCAGTTTTGGAATTAATTATATACAGTATTTAGTTTAATTTTTGTATTTTGAACATTAAAAATAAGGTCAAAGTATACCTAGGTAACCCCAATGGCGGTGCTTCGCCTAGGTTAGGTTAGATATTTGAACTTGGAACCGAAACGAGTTCAATGTTACCCTACTTTTTTACTGGAGACCAAAAATAAGAACGTTATTAGTTAGTTAGAAAGTTATTATCTCCCGGAGGGATAGGTTAGGTTTGTTGGACAAGCCGTGAAAGTGGTGTATAGTACTAGCTGACCGTGAGCGATAGCAAGCATGTTGGTGGCTGAGGGGCCGTAGGCCCTGAGTTCAAGGAGTATGGGGCATGTGAAAAGAACTTAACTCCAACTTCAGATGATTAGTGTGCTCATGGATCAATATCTGCCTCTATTGAAGATATATATGGCCAACTTGCCAGACTGCCTGTTAAAACACATGATAGGCTTAGCAGAGAGAGTGACTTGACTCCTGATCATTGCACGATCGCTGGAAAAAAGTATGATAACTTTCTTATTTTTGGTCTCCGGTCCAAAAGTAGGGTACCGTTGATCTCGTCTCAGTCTCCTGAGTTCAAATATCTAAACCTAAATATCTAACCTAACCTAATCGAAGTGCCACCATTGGGGTTACCTAGGTATACTTTAATCAAAATAAGAATTCATCTTGGTTTCCCTTGAGCATGCTTTCTATTATCCCAAATTTGGTGTTAAATAATTACAGGAAATCTTCATTAATTCGAACTCAGATAGTTTGAAATCCTGTTAGTTTGTAACTGTACTATTTGTCCTTGCTTACACATAGTGATTAACAAGTTAAGGAATTTGGCTATTTCAAAATTTGAAGTGAAAATTCTGTCAGAACTGTGATATGTACATGATAGCTTGTTTATTGGGCTGGAATTTGAAAAAATTGTAAGCCTATAAATTTCCACTGTTGTCTGTCCTGCTGTCTTTCCTTAATCTCAGGAATGGAGTTACATAGATGAAAGACAATATCAGATAAGGAAACCTTAGAGGCAGGATGTCAAGATTAAATATATATGACCTTCTGATGCAAAACAGAAGTCATGTTATTTCAATTCAGAAATTTTCCCTTGAAAAGTGTTAGATAAATTACTGACACAACTCTATTATTAAAGGAAAAGTATGATGTTTGAGGGCAAGCCACTACTAAGTTGAGGTGAAGATCATTTATTTTAAGTTAACTAAATTAACTATATATGACCTTATGATACAAAACAGAAGTCATGTTATTTCAATTCAGAAATTTTCCCCCAAAAAGTGTTAGATAAATGACTGACACAACTCTATTATTAAAGGAAAAGTATGATGTTTGAGGGCAAGCCACTACTAAGTTGAGGTGAAGATCATTTATTTTAAGTTAAATAAATTAAAAATTTCAGCCTCTCATTATGACAAAGTCACAATAAATAATTGCTTGTAGATCAAAGTGCCTCCATACTATAAGTGAACAACAGATCAAGAACAACTCTAATCTGGTCAATATGACTTTACTTTTACAGTAACACGTTTTTGGATATCATCTTATGTATGAACTATCTTTCTTTTTCTTATCTCATGAAATATGACTAGGTTCACAATTGCGAGATTGGACAACAAGTAGCAGATTGAGATTTTTGTGGGGCTATAGGCTACTACATTTGGATGACTTACTACTGTTTAGGTCACTTTAAAAATAGTTTGGGCTATATTTTGAGGTATTCTGCTTTACTTTTTATAAAATCTATCTGGAAATCTTTGAAGATCTTGTCAGACAAGTGCTAATTACCTGCAGTTTATATTATTATTAATTAACAAAAATAGCATTCTGTATATGTAGCCATATTCCATTTGTTTAATAAATTTCATTAGTTAAGTGACATTTGGAATATTGCACACAGAAATATCTAAATTTTGGTTAATTTGAAGTTGCGATTATTTTGTCACTTGAATTTCAAACTAATGAGGATTTCCTGTGTTATTATAACATCATCATAAGCACTCAACATTTTATCAATGTCATCTGGCAAAGAAAAGAATGTACAGATATTTAGGAACATTAGAATAAAATTTGAAAAGCAAATTGTAACTATTTGAAAATGGAATATAAATTTGCAATGTTAAATTTAAATGAACTTAGGCACAAGAATAGTATGATCCTGGAAAGGTATTAGCACTAAAAATGAACAGAAGTTGATGTATTGAAAGAAGTGGAATACACTTTACAAGGTGATGCAACAACAACACAAACATTTACATACCTTTAGTAAACTTAGAATTATGGTCAGTAAGTAACATGATGTTAATGTGTTAAAAGTACAAACTTTTTGAAGTTTGTACTTTTAACACATTAACATCATGTTACTTACTGACAAACTTCAAAAAGTACAAACTTTTTGAAGTTTGTACTTTTAACACGTGAAGTGAAATGTGATACCCAAATTCTTGGGAGTTCCAACATGGATTTATTACAGGGTTTTAAATCTTTCAATAAATAAAGCCACCCAAATGAAAATAACTTTTCTGTTCTTAGTTCTGTAGAGCACTTGTTACAGATATTGCTGGAGTTCAGTTAGACATATTTGTAATTTTCTTGTTGTTGCTTCTGTTGTATAAAAGATTTGTGTGACTATCTGGCTTTGTAATGAACCAAATAAACACTATTTTCCTAGTGTGGATACTACGTCATTGTTATTGCAGAGCAGATGTCACCAAACTTTTTTCACAGTGGGCCAGATAACTGAAAGAATGACGAGTGTGGGCCACAACCATTTTGTTCAATACAGCATACTGAATACACAAAAAATAAAGACAACCAACTTATTTATTTACCAATACACAAACATGATCACTACAGCAAGCTTGTAATCACTTTTCGTTGCAGGAACTTACACAAAAAGCGCTCTGATATCCAAAAGTCACAAAAAGTCACTGAATTTTTTATTTCACTGATTTTCTTAAAAATTATATTATTGTCAGATACAAAAATCAGATTGGACCACTTCTGGTATTTATACTTACTATGTATAAAAAATTAAAATAAGTGTAAGTTTATCTACAAACTATGATATTTCTACAATTTCATGGTGAACTCAGGATATATTTTTCTTCCAATTAGAAGTTCAGACTATTTACAAAAAATTTAATTTTTGAGTCTATCTACAGGTATACTTCGACTTATGTTGTTTCGAATTACGTCCCCGATTATACGTCGTTTGTCAAAAAAAGTATATGGAAAAATAAAAATCAAGCTTAAGTCATTTTATTTGACTTTACGTCTGTCCGCCACAAATATTGAAGTCGTAATATCATTAGAAAAGCATTTAAAGCACATAAAATCATATTAACTAAAATATATACTGTACACTTACAAGTATGTACTGTATTTACAGTACATGCATTCGTAAATTTAGATTACTTGTTTCTGTACTATATTGAAAACTAAAATTTATTTGTTTGTAAGCTTAAAGTAGATCCTTATTAACCATATATTATTAAAAATGTATTCATAAATAAAATACAGATCTGGGAAATGGTAATTTATGGTTTAGCCTAGTGAGAAGTAGATTCGGAGACAAGTAAATTTGACTTACATCGCCTCTCCTGGAACCAATTACCAACGTAAGGTAAGGTAAACCTGTATTAATCCATTAACACAACCACAGAAGTACCCGTAACATTGGTTTGAAGAAAAACTTTAATAAAAACGAAAATAAATAGGTAAAAACGCACAATATTAAAAATGATCAAAACATCAGCCTTTTATTTGAGGTTCTGACTAGGGATTGCAACCCAGCAGTGTTTTTAATCCAGCTGGATTTTTGCTGGACCAACATCATTCCAGCTGGATCCAGCGCAGATCCAGCTGGAATGATGCACGGATGTTTTTTGGTGCAATAAAGTGTTATCTATCTATCTATCCAAAATTTATGGGTATAAAACTTGGCAGTTGGTGAGAAGATTTACTTAATTTTTTAATGTTAAGGCGTCAGATACCTAAAATGAAATGCTGACGTCTGATCATTTTTAATTGTAAATTTTACCTGTGTCTACCTGAAGAAGAGCTAGTTGGAAAGCTTGAAAACGTTTGTGGAAAGATTTTTTCACGCAAATTACACCGGTAACAGGTTCAGTATTTAGTATTTCATCCCCGGTGTCAGAGTGAAGTTTAATTTATTGTTGTTATTATTGCCATATGGTTTTACAGATTATTGCTATCACTGTTATCTTCCATTCTTTTCTCTCTTCTAGTTTTATCCTTTCATTATTGTCTGCTTTCAATTCAATTGGTTTAAATCTTGTTTTACTTGGTCAATTCATCTTTTTTGTGGACTTTGATCTAGTAGTCATTATATTCCACTCTAACACTATTCTAAGATCTGCTTCATTTCTCCTCGTTACATACATATACCACCATAATTATAAAATCAGTTAATAATACAAATTTCTTATTGGCTATAATGTTACTGTATTTAATTAGCTAATGAATCTGGCATTATCAATTGATTATTATAGATAATACAGCCTTGGTTTACTATATGATTCATAAGTCTATATAAATTTTAATTGTATATTTTTTATATCTTTATAAACCATCAAATATATTTAGTTTTTTAACTTATAAAAAATATTATTACTGTTTTATTTAAAAAATAATTCATTTTTATGCATAGCTTATCAATAAGCAACTATGGAAAAGAAAGAATCACTAGAAGAATCTTCCAATACAGAACAGACTAAAATTGAAGGTTTAAAAAATAACTTTGTGTCCAATTATGTTGAAAATTACACCAAGAATGAATTTCCAATTGATGAAACAAATCTAGAAACTGAAAGCACTCAATCAATTCAGTCTCTAGGAAGATTCAAACTTTCTTCATCCATTCCAAACGATTCTGATTTACAGTTTGAAGAATTAGAAACTGTTGCATTAGATATACAAGAAGAAACAAAAAATGTAAAATTACCAAATACTCCAGTTGAACAACCACAGCAATCATCTGTATCAAAAGCCGAATTACAACTCGTCTTTGGACCCGAAATAGATGTGTCAAATAAATCTGAATCTAATGTGGTGGGTAAAACTTTTGGCAATCAAATAATAACAGGTTCTGTGGACAATAGTGTCAATTTAAGTGATGGAAAAATTACTGAAAGTACTTGTGAATTTCAGGTAAGTTTTGAAAATTCAAATTAAAAATTTAAAATATATTTTAAAATATGAACAATAGAATAAATTTAATTGTAAAAATTTATAGATCTGAAAGAGAAATATTAATGATTTTAAAAGTTATTTATAACACAAATTTAACTAAAACAACAACATTCTTTTATAGGTTGAAGATGACAAATCTGAGCAACCAGTGCTAACAAAATACTTTACAAATATTCCACCTGAAACAAGTGCCATGATAGATCCATTAGCTGAAGATTTCTTCAATTCAGTTTCAACAAATGTTTCTCCTATGATGAAGAGTGTTTCAGAGATTGCAGTCTTTCAGACTTCCAAACTGGATGATGGTCAAACTATCAGTCTAGAAGATACAAATTTCACCATTGAAGAAGATAATGAAATTACAGAGGATCTACAAGAAAGAGATAAGCATAGCATTAGTAATGGGTATCAATCTGAAGAATTACCATCATCAAGAAAACCATCTAGTGATCAAGAAGATAAACCTAACTTAAGTAAATTTTTTGCTGATGAGAAAGGAGGAAGTGATCCAGAAGGAAAAGCTTTTTTTGATGCTCTTGCTGGAATTGGTAACACTGGCTCTGCATTTGTATTAGCTTCTCTTCAACCTGAAGATAGCACATCTGTATCAGTAACATCTATGAATCCATTAGTGACAATGACTCAAGAAGAAATTATATCTGATAATGGAGATTTGAATAATTATTATGATGCTTGGATACCTTCTAAGAAAACTCAAAAAATTCTCGAAGCTGCTAGAAAAGCAGTTCCTGGTACATTCTTTGCAGAAAAAGACCAATTAACAATGCCTGGGATTATAATAGAAGAAGAATTGGTAAGAAATTTATCAAATTATGCTATATTTTTGACTTTATTTTATGTGTCTTAATTTTATATACTTGTCAAACTTCTCTTCTGATTAATATTTGACAAATTTTTAATCTATAGTTTGATCACTTATTTAATATTATATTGTTTAGATCGGAACATATCCTTTAATTAATATGACAAAGTTTTTACTTTGTCAAATTAATATTTTATTGTAAAAAACAAATTATTTATACCATACAATCTCTGAAACCAGTTGTTTACTAGTTTGACGTGTCCAATAATCCAGCACTAGTCAACTCTTGGGTATTATTGGCATTGTTGCCAAGCGATAGACAAGCTTTCCACTAGTTGAAACTCCAGTTCCCACTAAGTGCAGCATAATATTGAGCCCAAGCTTGAACACTCTAGCTTAGGAACAATATTAAAGATTGTTAGGGTTGTCATCTTAGGCTGCGTAAAAAAAGATATGGTATCTCATAACACAATGCTCTATAAATATAAAAATTAATTCCCAAAATTTCCTATCAAACATACTGCATCTCCTACTAAATTTCCGATGGTCATTTCAATTTTCCACTAAATTTAGTTGGAATCAATCAATGTGGCAATACTGGTAGCAAAGGCAGCATGTTTGGATGCTTTAATCAGCAATCCAACTTGTGTTTTGCTGCACCTACTCTACTATCAAATTGTTTATGTTCTCAATTGTTTACATTACTCACTATTATTATATATATATTTTTGATTAATACAATGTTCTGATATTTTGCAAATAAATGAATATTTTCTTTCCAAATGATTAACCATTGAATTTACCTTACTTCTGGCAATCTCCTTAATCCAACGGTTCTGGGCCCTTATATATCAGATTACTGAGATTGTACTGTAATAAGTTATTTGAAGGCTCAAGTTAACACAAATAATTACAAAAGAATGTGTGGATTTGAGTAAAATCTCGGTTACTAAGTGATCTAGATTTTACTCAAACCAGAAGGATTATGATCCTTAAGTTTTGGGCTGCAAAATCATGCACTGTTTACATGATTTTGCTTTCTGTTGACCAGTTTTGACATCACAAAACATGTTGCCCAACAAGAAGTTTGACAAAATTGGTTTTCTGAAAATTTGGAAAACATGAGTTTGTACCACCAACATCCAATTAGTAAACAACTTGAATGATAGAGCCTATTAGCACCCATGTATAACTATAGAGTAGTAATATCCATCATCATGATTAGGAAAGCAAAAAGTGCAGGAAATAATATCAATAGAATTCTATCAAGGTAAGAATATTTTTATAATAGTATGGATAATATCAGTGGTGTGCCATCATTGGAAGCAGTGGATGAGCCGCTCCCTTGTATTTTCTAAAAAATAAATACATATTAATTTTAATTATATGAAAATAATCGCACAATATTTTATTATAACCGCATTATGTATCTTATTACAAATTTCTATACTACATGTGAAAAAAAAATAAGATTGCAATTGTATATTAGAATATTAGTGGCGGAGTGGAATCGTATTATCAGAATCCAAAAAGCCAGATTCGCGCATGCGCTTTACAGAGCACCAACCTCACCCAGTTTAGCTGGTAGAAGCCTACAACCTTGGATGAATGCTACACATATAACACTTCCAATTCTATCCAGGACTGGTTCTGGGCTGTTAGCTGCCTGCCAGCTAGATATTTGGCTGCCCTCACCCGATTACGTGAATAACGAGTAGATTTATAACTTAACCCAACTGATAAGAATTTACTGGTATGTTTTTACGATAGTTCTGTATAGTTGACAGGAGTTTAAAAAAATCCATTAAAATATTTGATATTTTTATTCCGCTCTCCAATTTTATATTACTCACGGATTTTAATGTTAAACAAGTGAAATTATGATTTCATATATCCCATCTTTAAGGGGATGTAGAAAAAATCGTGTACAATTCTTGTATAATGTTAAAAAATTAACTGTTACTTTGACAGCATCATTTACAATTAAATTTAATGAATGAGAGAGATGCACGAGGTACAGAAAAAGCTCTAGAATTTATTTTTCTTAAATTTACGATTTATGTATCCGTTATCATAAAAATTTGTCTTTCCACTTATTTTCCAAGACTCCAAATATTCGAGTACAAAATAACTGGTTTTGACTTATTTCTACCTAAGAAGTAGTTAAATAATTAAGCAATTAGGGAAGTGGGGACACAAATAAAACCCTGCTGAAAGAGTCGGAATTTTACTTAAACAAAAGCTTAACCAAGTACAGTGTGGCCTGATTTCTTCATAATATCAGATGTAATAAAGACAGAAATTTTTCCAGTTCAATGAAAGTGACTAAAAGTTGTAAATTTTGGAAATTTCCATGGACACCTGGTCTTAAAACGAATTAGTTAGAAAACAAATGACTATTAAGTTTAACAAATTTAGGTTTTTACAGCTATGGTGAGAAACATTTAAAATTTACAAGAACCCTGTCGCGTCCTTTGAGATATACTAGAGATGAGACAAAAGAGGCATTTGACATTAACCGGTATCGGCACCCTCGGGATTTGGCAAGCATGCACGCACCGCACACCTACCAAGATCGTCTCTGATTCCATCCACGAGCCACTGGTAGGGAGCAATTTTAACTAGGTGGATTGTTTTAATATTTAAAAAGTAAAGACTATTTTATGTTATTTTTATGTACGTTTCTTCACAAAACTATATTTATAATTTTCTTTAAAAGTATATTCATACAATTGAATATTTTGTACCAGGTATGTATAATTGTATATCATCACACATTTTATTTTAACAAGTAAGTTTTTATAATTTTATTTTTAATTTTAGCCCTTATATTATAGCTAGCAATTTAGAATGTAATTGTGATATCGAAAATTTATTTCAAAAAGTTTTGGCTCGAGACCATATAATGAAAAAGAAAAAATTTGTTCGACATTTTCATGATAAAATTTATGAAGATATAAAATGGCTTTGTGGATGCATAAAAATGCAAAATTTGTTTTGTTGGCCTTGCCTACTATTTTCAAATAAAATTAGTGTGTAGAATGAGATTGGCTTTGACGATTTAAATAATTTGAGTAAAGCTGGCAAAAGACACGAAAATCCTAAATCTCGCATCGATTCTTTCGTAAAATTGAAGCAATTTGGAAATCAGAATAGAATAGAATTTAACATTAGTAAACAATATAAACCAAATATTGAAAATTATAACAAAGTTATGGCTAATATATTATATTTTAATTAGTAGATGTTATCGAAGCGAGAATTGGCATTTAGAGGGCATAGAGAATCTATAAATCTAATATAACAGAGTTAATTATATTGAACTTGCTTATTTATTAAGTGCATTAGATAATCTATTAATTAAAAATACATTTAGAGAAGTCTACAGTTTTTACTGGCTTATCGAACAAACGAATACGATGGACCATAGACCATCACTGACTAATTGCCCCTGGAAGTTGGCTTCCTACAGAAACACAGCTTCCTTGTCATCAAATGTCATGGCACGCCACTGGATAATATGTGGCTAAAGTTTACAGTTAGTTTTTATATATATATTGGGGTTATAAATAAAACACTTTCTCACTACATGACTACAGGAAAATATTGTCTAGTGTTTGCTCTTTGCCAGAATTGTTATGCAAAAACCCATCTGATAACCTCATTAACCAGCAAATCGTGTAGATCATGCAAATCAAGTTCACCCATTTTAGATTTGTGTCAAATTCTCAAAGATATTCTGTTGGAATGTATTTAATTTTGTTTTGGATTTTATTTCAATTTTTGTGTTCTGCCACATAAGTCATGTTGCATGTTTATACATAGCTAGTTGCATACTTAAAATAAACATTGTTTATGCTATCTATGAAACTTGGATCACATTTTACCCAACTAGAGCTTTGCTTGAAATGAAAATTCCTTATGCACTTCTGAAAAATTCTTGGCTTAGTGTAATAGTCTACCACTACCTTATTAAAATTAAAGCATCTCTCTATCATGATTTACAAATAATTTTAGTGCTATTTTAGTAATCATCTTCAGTATATAGTATCCAAATAGAGTAAACACAGTTACAATTTTTTACATGGAAATTAAGTTTTCAAGATAGCTGAAAATCATACAATGAGAGTAAGACAACAGTTGGTTCAAATGCTTTTTTTTTTTTTTTTTTAACCTCATGAGTTTACCTTATTTTTGTGGATTGTCCGGCATGTCAATCTATCTGGGAAGACCATGAAATCAGATATTTCCATACAGTAAAAACAGGCATGCTGGTTTATCTTGGGTTTATACATCCCTCTTTAGAGTTCATGAAGAAACAAACAAGTTAATTTCTTCATTTTGTCTTCTTTCTAATGATTTAAAATACTCTTGGAATTCCAAAAATGCTTTATGTGTATTTTATTGTAATTTGATTCAAAAACACAAAAATAAACCTATAAACCTATTAAATTTAACAAACTTCCTGTAAATTATCTTAAGTTATATCTATTAACATTTCTTTTGCATGAAATTTGAAAGATGTTATTTTTAAGATCAGGGTAGATGGTCAGTGTAGCTGACATTGACTAACTACTAATACTACCACTACTGTCAATAACAAGTTAATTGTTTTATTGTCTTGTAAACAAAACTCTCTCCCTGATTTTAAATCAGTGAAATTATTTTATTGTACTCGGAAGAACGTTTTTTGTAATATTTCATTAACAACCAGTCTTGTTAGATCTGATTAATTTTATATATTAGTCACAGTTTAACCAGCATGCCAGTAACCAGAGTTTCCAGCATGCTGGTCTCCACCATTTATATACGGCATGCCAGTCATTCTGCAAAAATATGGTATATTTTAAAGTTTAATTTGTGCATTTTGTTAATATGAACTTTGGACTTTATTTAAAGCTATTTTGTATGTGTGCATTTTATTTAATCATATATATCTGTTATATTTTCTTGATACAGAATACAATGAAAATATTTATTATTATGTTAATTGAATTTCAAGTATTTTCCAAGAACAAAATTTAATATTTTAATGTAGTGAATGATATTGCTTACAAGATTAAATATAATATAATTTTATTTGTAATAATTCTTTTTCTTTCTGTAGGAAGATCCAATTAAAACACTGTTGACTGAAGTTTCACCAGAACTGACAAAGGATCGTGTAGTTTTGACTGTAAATAGTGTTTCACAGGATGAAACTGGATTGAGGCAGTTAATTGTAAGAGACAAATAATTTTCAAATTTAAATTAATTTTTGAAAAACTTAACTATGAGCAGTTAATTAGTTTAAAATTCTGTGTATGAATATTTAATACGGCTGTCCCTTGATAGTCCGACGTTTTGTAATTCGACACGCTCAGTAGTCCAACGCACCTCACGTCAAGTTACCCGTCCCCGTTATGTGTCTGCTTGCACAGAAGCATGAATCTCCCCACTCAATTCTTACACGATGACACACATTTTGTGTGTTTTCCGTGAGCAGTTCTGTTCAAACAGTTGGAGTAGGGAATATTGTAGGCTACTGCTAGCAAAACAATGCCAAATATGTAATTACTTTTGGTAATCCGACACCCATTTGTTCCCATACTTGTCAGATTATCAAGGCACAGCTGTATTTCAACTGTTATAATCATATATTCTATAATTCTATAAATATATTATATCTTTCTCATTCTAAATGTTTTATGAGAGGATCCACTAATCTAAATATAGGATTTTTTAGGAAAATATCAAGTTGTTAATGATATGAGTTAGGAAATTGTCAAGAATCAAAACCATCACTAAGACTCGTGGTTTCCCAGAAATTTAATATTTTTCAACAAAAATTCTACATCACTTGGTTGATTAGCAGGTCCACTTGTAAATAAAATATTTAGGATAGTAAGATGTTTCATTTATGGAGGAAGTATACAGCAGCATGGCCAATACAGATGGATTCAACAGTGTATTATATATTTATTATTAAAATTTATTCTGAATTTTAAAATTAATTTATAGTCTACAGATAGTATGAATGAAATCTAGCAATATTAACTTATTAGATTTTGCAAATAGATACAATAAAAACCTGTGTAAAATGGACTTGCACAGTACTGAATATTTTTCTGGTTTGGCAGGTTTCCATTTTGAACAGGTTTTTTTTTCAGACCATAGCAAAAATTGCTATGGTCTGAAAAATTTTTACCATTTACAATTAGGTGGGTTTCTGTTTTACTAAGGTTTTGGTTTGAACAGGTTTACTGTAAATATTTTAAATCAATATTTATACTTATAAAGTATGGTAATTATTTACCAAACTAATCAGTTTTAAAAAGGTGTAGAGTTTAATTCCACTGCTAAAAATCCACCAAAATGATAAGTTATTTAAATTCACTCAATTAACAGCCAGATGGCCAATGCAGTAAAGGTGATGATCTGCCAGTTCAAAGATGGTTGAGCTTGAGTCTGGATTGGTTCAAAAGTTTTTGTATATGAGTCAACCCATATATAATTCAAGTCTCACTTCTTATTAGCTAGTCACTATCATTGTGGACTTGACCATTATTCCCATGCTAAAGGCCCTTGTAATGCTAAGAGAGTGGAATTAAAATTTCAAAACAAATATTCAGTCATATTGTATAACAATTTGATGATACAAATTATGAAAGTCTCATCAAATTTAAATGTAATTAATTAAAACAATTTTAACATTGCATAAACAATTTGGAGTGAAAGGCATCTAATGTATGTCACTGTCTCCCATGTGAATGGCCAAAAATTTTTAAAAATGTATTATTTTCTACATCATTATGTTAAAAAATTAATTAAATGAAAACTATATTAGTGTATTCTCTGTAAAACACAACTAGATATGTTACATCATATATCATACAATATGATTAATTTATAATAAAATTATAAATTTTTATTAATATTTTCAGGCTGCGGGATGTTACCATGCAGCTATCAATTTAACTTCAATTCTGTTAACAAATGCAGGTCAGGGAGTGGGACAAGGAGGTCACCCGTCTCGAAATACTCCGTATACTCTTCAGGTGTGGATGTATTTTAAATGTTAATGTTTCACTTAATCTTTTTTTATAATTAGTTTTAGAAATAAGGTAATTGAATAAAAATAAACTTTTTAAATTTTGATATGGCAGAAGACTCTCCTAGCTCATTATCTATATATAAAAGCTGTACTTTTTTCTACAACATATACACACTTTAGAGTCCAAATACACATTGTCCTTGTTTTTCATCAGCAACGATCTTTGCTCTCTCCTCTTCTTGCCACAGTCATCCTGAACACACTTCTGGACCCACGGCATGTTGACCTCATGGCTGTAATGAACACACTCAGTGATACAAGAGAATGTACAATTTAAGTTATTTTTATTTAATATAGGACTTATTTAAATGTTTGTAATAATGATCAAATATTCAGTATTCCTGTTATTAATTTTTAATTCATACTAGAAAGCCATGGTGTAATCATGCCACTATGTATATGATATTGTCTATATGAAACAAAGAATTATTTTAAATCAATCTCATTAATTGGCTATAATTTATGACTTCTTTATCTGACATTTCTTCTGTTAGTGCAACATTTAGACAAGATTGTCCATGACAGTTCCTGCAAAATAATGAACAGTGCAGTCCCAACTTTCACAACCTTTTGAGCAGTTGTAAAAAATCATGTTCAGAAGACAAGCTGGTACAGGAAGTTGTGATGTTTGTTTCAGCTCCAACAAATTATTCTTCAAAACCCATCCCTACTGTTTGGGATTCAGTTCATTACCTAGCCATGTTTGGACTTTATAATACACTCAAACTAGGTGCTCTTCAGCTGCTCTAGCTGTAAGTGGTAATAAATTCAAGTTTACTGATTTGTTCCTCATAATAGACTTCATAAAGGACTAATGTCTGTATTGTACTGTAATTTTCAAAAATTGTAGATAAATTTCCTCTGGAATCCATCTGTGTGTCCTTTTTAAATCTCGAGAATGGAGTTAGATAGATGAAATCAAGACCAAATATGGAAAGCTTAGGGGCAGGATGCCCTCATTAACTATATATGATCTTCTGGTTTGGACCAGAAGTTACATTATTTCAATGCAAAAATTTTCTCCTGAACAAAGTTAGATAGATGATCATCATTGTTAACAGGAAAAGTATGATGTACAGGGGCAAGATGACACTACTAAATTTGACAGCATTGTGATGAAAAATTGCAGCCAGCATTGTGACAATGTTATAATAATAATCTTTTAATGAAGCATCATATACAATATACACAGTGAATGCCCAGGAAAAATTGTATTCCATTAGAAGAAATTAACTCACAAGAAACAAATCTTGCAAACCCTGTCATTTTTGTAATAGTTTCAAAGCTGTTGTTTTACAATTATGGAAAAGAACAGATGATGTATCACATCTGGAGAATGCATGTAAAAATAAAATTGATCTCTAACTTTTATGTTTATCAAAGCTCCTTGAAAAGTAAATTTTCTGCTCAATCTTTCCTTTTTCAGGTTTGAGAAAAAAAAATCTCTTTATGAACATGCATAGATTCTATTTTGAAATAAAATGTTCTTTGACCCAGATGCATATAAAGTAGCCATATTCAGAGTTTTAATAAAACAAATCTATTCACACTGCTCCAGCATCAAAGACACTATGAACAAGCTAAAATACATAAAAAAGTTTGCAATGGGACATGGGTACAGTAAAAAAACTTATTCATATCATGCATACAAGCTTTTAGAATCACCAATAAATCAACATCTTTCTCAATGACAACAGTTGTGTTTCTACCAGGGCTGTGGAGTCGGAGTCGTGGAGTTTTGGTGTTTTAGTCGGAGTCAGAGTCATCAAAAAATCCGCTGACTCTGACCCCTTTTTACTTCCCAACTTGTTACATATATAAAATGGAAAAGTATTGAAATCATGTCAAATTTGACCCTCCAGGTTTTTTGTTTTTGCAAATCTACACGTTTGGAGACCTCCAGAACCCCTCAAAAAAGTCAATAAAAGGGAAAAAATTCCCGTGCGTGTGTGTGTTGACGTCTAATTTGTTTAATTTCTTTATTTTCTCTTCTGAGATATTAAACAATATTTCAGAATGAGTAAAGTTTAAGAAACGAAATGTGGCACTGTGGCTTGCATATAAAGGGGCATTAATAGAGGAAAAGGTGATATTATGGAACACTGTGGGTATTATGGAACTACCCCATTTTGAACTGATAATAAAGGTGAACTGTAGCCGAATGTGGCTGAACTGAACTAGGCAGACATCCATAGCAAGGGGAAAACCCGTTTTACTTCAATTAAACGGTTGTCTGCATTTAATCAGCAAATTTGTTTTTTTCAAAATTCGCAAGTTTTGAATGCTAAGTGAATTTAATTATTTTTAAAATATAAATCGTGTAGTTGTAGGTTCACTGGTGCATGTATTCCGTTCCAGAGACTTAGGGGTACATATTAATCTGTGTGATGTTCACGTTTTTTAAATTTTGGTGTTGACAGACATAAGTTAATTCGAGATGGCGATGCGTGAAATATGGACCCCATTGGCGCTTTTACAGTAATATGGAACTCAACTTCTCTGAACTCTCTCTTTGCAAGCAGACATTCGTCCGGAACAATTTGTGAAAAAGACACTAGGTAGAAAGTCAATTCTTCCCGAGAATATCGAAAAAGAGCTGATGGAATATATATTGTTGACGGAGGTCATATTTTTTTTATTATAAAAGCATTTTTGCGATAAAATACATTGGAGTAAATAATTTTGTAATTATTTAACATTTTTTGTACTTTCCTATTTGTTTTTGGCTACATAAAGCATTTTTTGGAAATATACAGTAAGGTTCATATTACCACCTGATTTTCTCTAAGCCTACTTTCTGACTTTTTGTACAAAAGCCTTCAAAAACCATACTTATAGTTACACTAACGAAAAATCCAACTAGGAACATTTAGTTTAATAGTTACCAGTACTTTTCACACAAAAAATGTGGGTGTAGTTATGATACCTTGTTTACAATTCACTAAAATGTAATTGGGGTTCCATAATACCACTTTCTCTTCTACTATTAAATTTTGGTTCTTAATTAAAGGTCGACAGGGTGAAGACATAAAAGGGGTTATGTGTCATATCTCTTAATGAATATTTTACTCGTTATTAACGTTCAAAATTAAAAAAAGAAATAAAAGTCGTCTCTACCCTCAAAGTAAACTTTTTTGTCATTTTATAATAGTACTGTGACCACAGGGTCAGCACCTCTTTGGCACCCTGTCAGGATGACACCACTGTGTCTTGAAACAGACACAGAAAAAAAATATTGGCCGTTAATTTTCTTTACACGAACGGTCGCGCTTGCGGACTTTTGGTTCTGGGATGGAAGCGGAGGGAGAGAATCAGAGGAATTACACTCGATAGATTTTCTTTATATACATGATACCAGTTTATTATTCTACTTTAGCTATATACAAATCATGTTCAATTTCAATTAACGTAGCTACTTCTTTTCCGATAACAAGTACAAATGAGAGAGAGAGAGTTTACATTTACTTTGCGTGAGGATAAATACCTTGATATAAGTTATGAGAGTTGGAAATGTAGTCCTTGAGTCTCAAGAGGACACACAGTTCTTTTGAACAATGAGGTTTCTTAAACGGTGGTCTTCCTGCGTGGCGGTGATTAGAACAGTCACTGGCAGCGGCTAATCCACACATGTAATCCTATAGTTTGCTTAACTCTGGAGACTCTCTTTGATGCATCGACCCCCTCCTTTTTAGAAAGAGGGCATCGTTGGGTTTTTTCCACTGCCTTATTAGGACTGTTTTCCACAACTGACCAATAGTTGTTTTCTTTCTTCTTTTCGTAGATTCCGGGTGACACATTCGATGTATCATCTTCAACCAGGAAATAAGTCTGTGGGAAAATAATTTAATGATCTTTTTAAATGTCAGTTTGTTGTTTATTTCTCTAAACTTTTTCTCTCTCAACAAAAAATATTTAAACAATTTATTCCACTAAGTTCGGCTCTCACAGTACAGTAAAACCCATTAAGATGTTCTCACCTAAGATGTTAGAATATATATGGGGACATGATTTAGTTCAACCACTTTGACGCTTAATAAGTAACTTCTGTGTCCTCATCTGACTTTGATTCTGACCACTCTGACCACAGAAATTATTAGGCTTCAAACAGGGTAAACAAAATTATGCCCCTCACACACAGTCTAACATCCACACATATAGAAAAATAACTCAAATCTTTTGCATATCTCGAAATTTCAAGGTGTCCCGAGTCCAAAAATGTAAAAATTTGGAAAGGGTCATTTTTTGACCGAGCGCTACACTTTCCTTCTGTATAACACCCGGAAAAGTAAAAATTATCAAATACATATTTATATATTACTTAGAGGAGTCTTTTAGTGTTGGAATAAAAAGTTTTTATGTTCTATCTTTATTAGAACTCTATTTATTGAATCTTTTATTCTGAGGTCACATGATGACATCAGAATTTTCGGATCTCTTTCGGTAACAAGTCCTCCCTTGGTCAGAGTCAGATGGTAAGGGAAAGTCGGAGTTGGAGTCAGTAGATTTTTACACGACTCCACAGCCCTGATTTCTACACACATTTTCAAGTGCAGTTTCAATAATCGAAACATCAGCATCATCTTGAGCATGCTTGACAGTTAAATTAATAGCCTAGAATTTTTGCATGGAAATTAATCTCTTTTTGTTGTTGATATTGGAAAGAAATTTCTCTTGGCTTGCTATTACAGTGATCTTTTCATCAAAGAGAACATTGACAGGAGACATTTTGGAGTTGTTCCACTTCTGTTGCTATTATTCTATCCATCAAAAATGATAATAGTGTTCAAACTGAAATATTTTTGCATGTACTTCAAATATTATGAACATATTGATCTGAAAGTTTCATTTTGATGCCATACAATGCACAAAAGAAATCCATTGAGGACAAGTTGCACTTTTGAGATCAGGTTGGATTGCTAATGATCTGAAGCTGTTGAAGAAAGATGGTGTTTTTGTTTTTCACATTTCCACTTCATAGAAGAGTGATAAAGGACATAGAGCTAACTCATATTTTAAAAAGTCACAGACCTCTTTTCCAGATCTTTTCAAGACACTGATCTTTTGAAACAACAATGGATCAATGGGTACTTTATGAACTTTCCCATGACTATTAACTGTTAAAAGTGAAAATATTGCATTGGTATGCAAAAATTTGATGCCATTAATATTTTCACTGTTTTTCCCAATCATGTTAATACCAATATTCAACAGATTATGACAATTTATTTTGTCATATGAATATTGAACCTAGAAATATTGGTATTGGAATAAATAAAAAAAGTTTACGCTGAATTTCCACAGAAATTAGTGCTTACATCAAAAAATTGATAAGAACCAATTTTGCAGAATCTTCTCATCTTTAAGTTTATATATACAGTAGAGCATCGATTATGCGACTCAATTGGGGACTGGGGTTGGTCGGATAACTGAAAAAACGGATAACCAAAAAATATAAAAAAATACATTATAAGTATAGTATATTAGTGTATCTCATGTAATTAGTATATTAGTATATCACTATTAACCTAATTTGCGTTGAATTTTCATCGATGTTAAGCCTAACAAAAACTTTTTTTAAATAATAATTGTTGCTATTCTATCGTTAAAAATTAGAAAATTAAGCCTTGTTGAAATACTGGCTCCCTTTCATGGTCGAGCCATGTTGCCAGCTAAAACACGTAAAAATACTATTAAAGTAGCCAAAACATAGCCAAATATTGTAGCGCCATATCACTAGCTGACATTTGAATTTGCCGACTAGAACAGTCGGTTAACCGATGTGACAGTTAATCGGGGGTCGGATAATCAATGCTCTACTGTACCTTCATTGCTGTAAAATCAATAGCAACAGAGACATTAATGAAAAACTAATTTTACACTCCTTGTAAGTAACTTTTTAACACTGAAACATTAAGCATAATGTTTCAGTGTATAGCAGAATGCAGGGGACTTTTGACATTTCATTTAGTATGACTAAACAAAAAGTACAACACGAAAGTTACGTTCCAAAAAATTACAGTGTTATACAAAACAAAGAACTAGTGTGAAAAGGGGGGGTTAGGTTCCAAAAATTAAAAAACATGCTGTTAAATCCTTATTTAAATTGGATTTATTATTCATTTTTTTCATAGGTAAAATACCTATTTATTATTTAAGTAAATATTTTACCAGAGAATTATTCATTCTATATGATGATCTCAGCATGAGCATCATCAACTGGTAACAGTTTTTGGGTGCATTCATTAATAGCGGTCACTCTGCAACAGGAGTGCGCTGCTGTTTGTAGGCATTTAGGAACGACGGTGAAAAAAGATGGCGGCACCCGCACTATCGATAGTATCGTGATGGAGGAATCTATAATTCTAAAATGAGTTTTTAGAGGCAAAAGAAGGGTCCCAATTATAAAATTTAACCATTAAATGGATTATTTGTTGAAAGAGCATTCAAAGTAGCCACGAAAACAATTAGAATGCTCACGTGGAGTTACGCGGAGATATAAAAGAATGCACCCTTTATTACATTTCATGTTGTACGAGGGTTTTACCTAATTCCCAAACCGTGTTAGAGTGAACCCATGCTATAGAAGTGCCGTGTTATATGGCGGTTACCTGTATATAAAAATTCAGCTTGCTTAAAATTTCTCTGCAGAATAGCCTTTTATTTTGTTTAAAGTGACTGGTCTATATACCTTATCTGTTTGTTTCCAAGTTGGTGCCACTGCCTAACTGCTGTTGATTGGGACACTCAAAGTTTTTCTGCAATTTCTAATTTAGATATTGTAGTTTGGGTAAGTTTCCACTGTGCAGCAATTTCAGCATTTTCTAAGCTAAAAGGTCATCAAAATGAAGTTTATCTTCTAGATTGAAACCCCATTCTTAATTTTTTAAATCAATGCTGGCGTTTAAGGCTTTATGATACATACACACTACATATATTGTTCATTACACAGCTGTAACTGCAGTGTTATTTTTTTTAGATTCATATAATATTACATGCCTTAAATGTTTTTCTGAGAAGCTTGTTTTGATTGACACTAATAATTTAATATTTTTTAAAATAATGAAACACCATTATAAAAACTTGTATAATTAAAAAAGGTAGCATTTGAACTGATTGGTTTATTATACAAGTTATGCTATAGCATGAAAACAATGCTTAGAAAAAAACAACACTACTTATGACTCAACTCAATATTACTATATATGTTAGCCTGCATGGCCAATATATTTAATAAAATGTATAATATTAATAATAAGAAAAAATTTCAAATCTTAAAGCTCACTGGATGGTTGTTTTAATTTTTAATATTAATTGAAATTAAAATTGAAAGCAAAGTCTGTCAAAGCAGTCACCTGTTATTCACTTTCATGTTCCAGAATACATCTTGATAACCTGACTTTTAGGCTATTGGCTATCAAAAATTTAAAAAATTCCCTTAAAACAGAGGGAAAAAATTGTCTTGTACACTGAGTGAAAAGCTTGAGACTTCAGAATATCATTTATGCAACTTGTTTTCCAATCAAGACATTGATTTCTTCTTTTTCTCTTTGGCCTTAGTCCTGCTTGGCAGCAGGGTTGGCAAACCTGGATTTTATTTTGAATTGCCATTTGGTCCAATCATGGGCCTGGTCTGGATGTAGGCCCACAGCCCACAGGTCCATGTAGCGTGTCCAGCCAACGCTGTCTTGGGTGAGACCCAGATACCTCCAAATGTAAGCCAATGCAGATGATGGAATCGGCGTCAGTGCAGAGCGCATGGCCATAGAGGTGCAGGCAACACTCATGTGCTTTCTTGCTGATCTCAGCAACACCATACCAGGCTCTGATGTTAAGACATTGATTTCTCAGTGGCTAAAATATTAGCAATTGGGTAGAGCTTTTAAGCTCTACCAAATTGCTTATCGCTAAAAATCATAATTACAAGATATCAAAGATGCCTTATGAACCAATTCCTAGAAATCTTTCCAAATGATAACTAATGTTTCTTAAAGGCAAACAATTGCTCTTTTAAGAATCTCTGTTCATAGAAGTTTTGTTATTCATTCAAAGTTGAATTAACAAAGAAGTGTATGCATTTGTAGAACCTTAAATTAAATGGATGCATAATGAAATATGATATTACTAGTATATTGTGTTCTTAGGTTGCTGGCAATTATTATGTCATCATTATACACCATAGTTTTTTCTGTTGTAAACTTAGGGAACATTATTATTGGTATTATATTGTAAAACCCTGCTCCAACCACCTTTGTTTAGGCAAAGACCTGTCTTAGAGCAGAGTATAGGCAGGAATTTTGAAAAGACTCTGTGGGGTTAAGTTTTTGTAAATTTGTGTAAAGTTATAATGGATTAATTAACATTTTTCCATCCAATTTCTTTAGCTTTGGTTCACAAGACTTGCATTATTTATTAAATTGAGAAAATTTTCTTTGGCCGAAGTTGAAAGCGAAGTATTTTCCGACCTCGATCAACCAGACATGTTTTATGAATTTTATCAAGATGCGTACAAAGGAAAAAAAGGTATACTTCTGAGTAATTTATATACTTAATAAATTACTAATAAATACAATATGTATTAATACATTTAGGATCCATGGCACCATTCTCTTTTCGATTATTGTTGGCTGAACTGCCTCAGTATCAGGGAAATCATCAGAGAACTTTAGACAAGTTATATTCTTTACTTGAAACAGTATCTCTTGTAAGTTTTTATATATTATTAATAAATTTTAATAAATTACTAGGAGTTTGTTCCTGGAAATCTAACCCTGACATTTTGGGTGGTTTTGCAGCATTTTTTTCTTGTGTTGTGAATTACAATTTTTTATATATAAATAAAAAAATAGCAAATAATAATCACAGTTTATTATCTAATAAGACAAAAAAAATGCAGAACAAATTAAAATTAATAAGCATCTTTCAATGGTGCTTAATCAATCACTTAAATACCATATTGTTCTATATAGCAGCTAAGATGAATTTTAACTTGTATGAAATTCTCATTCAAACGTACTTATTTATTTTTTCTTTCAAAGACTGCTCTGTGATGCCATCCTAACTTCATTATAATGAAATAACATTGGCCTTACTTACCTTGGATAGATTGTCACTCTATAATAATTTATATGTTAATTTTTTGAATTGTTAGATGTGCAAAAAATGAAATATCAAACATTTACTTTCTGAAAGTGATACAAGAAATTGTCATTAATTTGAACTCGGATTGTTCAAAATTCTGTTTATTTGCAACTGTACTATTTTGTCCCAGACAGGGATATAGAGATTTACATGTCAAGGAATTTGGTTATTTTGAAATATGGCTACTTTGAAATTTGAAGTGAAAATTCTGTCCAAATTGTGTTATGCATATGTTAACTCATTTATTTAGATTGAAGTGCCTCCAAACTATAAGAGAACAATAAACAAAGAACCACTCTAATTTGATTAATATGGCTTTGCTTTTACAGTAACACATTTTCAGGTGTCATCTTACCCCTTTTTTCTTATCTTATAAAATATGGCTGGGTTTTGAAGATTTGGAATTGCAAGATTGGACTATAGGTAACAGACAGATATTTGTAAGGCATTGGCTGACTTACTACTTTTTAAGCCACTTTAAAAATAAATTGGGCTATATTTTGAGGAATTCTGCTTTAGTTTTTATAAAATCTATCTGTGAGGTTCTCATTAAACATGTGCTGTTTACCTGATGTTTATTTATATTATTATTATTAATTAATGTAAATACAATTCTGTTTATGTAGCCGTATTCCGTTTGCTAAATAAATTATATCAGTTACATGGTATTTGGCATGTTGTACAGAAATATGTAAATCTCAGATAATTTGAAGTTGTGATTATTTCTTCCCTTAAATTTCGAATGAATGAGGATTTCCTATAGTTATATCTAAGCTAAAACTGTATACCATTTTAATATAGCCTTTAATCGTAGCATTGATGTAGCAATCAAAACTGCATTAAAATTGAGGAATATATATTATTTATTATTATTAATTTTTAAGATTATAATCCATATAACAAAGTTTCTACAAAAATATAAAATAATAAAATGTAATTTTTTTCTTCTATATTTTTGATATCAAACCGTAACAACTTTTAAACGAAACAAAAGATTTTCGAATAAAAAAAATAGTCAGTCAGTTGAAGCAATTTCAAATTTATTTTTTATTTTGAATATTAGATTCTTCAGAATTTGAAGAATGGATTTTCTGAAGATGGAAGTGAAGCTAACATGACTGACACCATAAGAAAGAGTGAGAATACTTTTTACTTATTATTATAAACTATTTGGAGCTTTAATATCAAAATTGTCAAATGTACTCAATAAATATTATCTTCAAACTATACTTCTTATAAAGAAATTATTATATCTAAATAAAAATTTTCTGTAAAGACACTGTTTCAGTGGGGTCAGGGCCTCTCTAGGGGCAGGCAACCCGGATATTTGTCCAAGGCGCCAAAGTTTAGGGGTGCCATTTTGGCTGTAAATGTTAGAAAAATATTGATATGTTCTCATTTACTCAATTAATAGAAAATTTCACGTATCGAAGTTTTCTTTCTCTAAAAATTTACAGTGCGTAGTGTATTTATACTGTTTATGTCTAAAAGCTAAAAATATTTACACTATTATTGAAAAATTAATGCAGAATTTGTAAAGGACGATGCTTGAGCTTGTTTGAACATGCATATACTTCTCTGAACAGAATAGCATTAGCATGCGAGCATAGAGCTGCTTCAGCTTGTGTTTGAACATGCATAGACTCACTTATACTTACCTCTAATTATAAAAGAGTGGTTTCATTACACAATTCTTGCTATTATGTCGGTAGTGATAACAAGTGGAAGTTCATAAAATTTACTTAACCCCTTAATGCCCACCTGTTATTAATTATAATGTAATTAAGCATAAAAAATACTTAAAACTGAAAAAAAAAACAAAAGAAATGCGTTAATTTTGGTTAAAAAGCTTCAAATTTTATTTTCCTTTGTCTCGCCTTTCTGTGAAATTTGACACTGAAGAGTCATTGTTTACACAGCTGGATGACCTTGAGAACAGCTGGAGTCGGATTTTCCGGGGCATTGTCATAGACGTCTCGGGAGGACAAGGGTTTAAATTAGGGTGAATACTAGTGGCCGTATACCAGTATTTTTAAATATTTTTAAAAAATTAAAATTTTAATTGCGATTTCTGACCTCCCTAATTAATTAAATTTATATATAATAAAATCTATTAATTAAAAAAATTAAAAAACTATTGGAGGTTGTTTTTGACATCAGAAAGTAGCTTTAAATAACTTTACTGAAGGAAAATCCGTGTGCTAGAACTTTAGAACGATGAATTAAATTTGATAAAAAAAATCCCATTAAGCCTTAATCAAGCCTTATCAAAGGCTAATTAAAATCGTGATAAAATTTTTTTGCATGGGCAAAAATTTTTGCAAAAATTTGTGGACCTAAAAAAACATTCCAAAAATTGAAAAAAAAAAATTTTGTCAAAAGTGGCCTTAACTACCGAGTTTTTCGTAATGCTATGTAAACTTGATGAGTTATCTCGTCAATGGGCGTAGTGCGATTTCTTAATTTTTGAAGATAAGTACATCTATAATTAAGCTATTGTTTAGTTTGATAGATACTAGTCTATCGTAAATCGATTATCAAATCGAAACAAGTGTTTTTAAATAAACTAAATATTTAATTTATCCAAAAAGGCTGTTTATTAAATCAATAAAATATTGTATTAAATTTGAATGTATTCTATAGGTATAATTATTTATATTTTTGTTTTATGAAAATAATTATTTGAATCAATAATATAAGACATTTATTAAGTTCATTGCTTCGATAAAACACATTTTATAATAATATATTTGAATAATTGAACTGAATAAAATCTCAAAATCAAGAATTATAAAATTGTTTTTAATGACTATTTATGGTTTGCTGAAATATTTGTTATTATAAAATACATATATAAAAACACTAGACTTTCTTTATGTTCACAGGATACAAAAAATATTGTAAGCCATAAAATATTTTTTATGTCCATTGACAGAATATAATTTTGAAGTTATGTTAATTATGGTTTTAGCTTATTTAGAACAAGGATAAATCTTTATTTTTTTTAAATATTATTTTATAGTTTACATTGTTTAATTTGAGTTATGTGCATGCCTCTTTCAGAATGTCTAACGGTCAAAGAAAACTGTATGGTTACCAGTACAAAAAAAGAAGGCTGGAAAAGGAAGCCAAAAGTCAAAAATAAGCTGACGCGTTAAAAAATTATATCCAGAGTTGTACCAAAACAAATGATGACTATGAGAATCCAACATCAAGTCCAGTTATAAAAAAAATACAAAATCGTGAGAGGATGATGATGACAAACAAATGGACCGAAAGAAGTTTTTTAGTAAGACAACGTCCACCTAAACCATTGCATAATTACAAATTTTCTTCCAATGACACTGGTTGACATTTTAGCGTAAATTATTATACGTGAATTTTAAGCAATGGAGAGCAAGTTTTATGAGACTGGCTAGTGTGCTCTCTTTCACAAAACTGCGTTTACTGCTTCTGTTGCAAAATTTTTGGCTGTATAGTTCTCTTTCAAAGGAGGGTTTTAAAAGTTGGAAGTACCTTGGCGAAACTTTAAAAGAACATGAAATTTCCAAAAATCATGGCTAGAAATGAACCTAAGGTTAAAGTGTTGTAAAACTATAGATGCGTCCTCTCAAAGAATTATTAATGCTGAAACAAATCATTGGAACGGGGGGCTTCTAAGAATCGTAGCAATTACTAAAATGCTTGATAAACGTGGTCTGGCTTTTCAAAGTACAAATGACAAGTTGTTTGAGTATAAAAATGGTATTTCTTAAAAATAGTTGAGTTGCTATCTGAATTTGATCCCATTATGAAAGAGCACGTCCGTAGAGTGCTAAAAAAAGAAGAGACTAAAGCTCACTATCTCGGAAAAAATATTCAAAACGAGATAATAGATCTACTACATCAAAGTGTAGAGTCTCATATTATTGATGAAATAAAAAAATCAAAATATTTTTTCATAATTTTAGACTGTACTCCTGACATTAGTTAGGTAGAGCAAATGACTCTTGTAATCAGATATGTTTCAATCAGTAAATTTGACTCTGATGTTGAAATTAAAATTAATGAAAGCTTTTTAGGCTTCTTACCAGTTGAAAGATCCAGAGGAAAACAAATGTCTGATATTATAATTGGAGAACTTAATGACTTGGGTTTAAATTTGCAGGATATCAGAGGACAGGGATACAACAACGGGTCCAATATGAGGGGCGATAAAGCAGGAGTGCAATTTAGAATTAAACAATATAATTCACAAGCATTCTATGTTCCATATAGTAGCCACACACTCAATCTTGTTGTTAATGATATGGCAAAAGCATCCTTGGAAGCCACTAATTTCTTCAACACAGTCCAAAAAATATATTTATTTTTTTCGACATCTACTTTTCAATGGGCAATACTTTTAAAACATGTTCAAGGTTTAACTTTGAAACCATTGAGTGACACTAGATGGGAGAGTAGGATAGAGACCTTAAAGCCTTTGAGATTTCATTTGGGAGATGTATACGACACTTTGCTAAGCATTTACAAAACCAAGAAATTAATAATTTAATAAGAGACAAAGCCTTGGGTTTATTAAATTGTATTAAACAATTTAAGTTTTTGTGTTCATTAGTTATTTGGCATAAAATACTAAATTCCGTTAATCCAATAAGGAAGTTGATGCAAACAAAAGATTTCAATCTAGCCTTTGCACTTGGTCTTTTACAAAACTGCAAAATATTTTTTAAGAATCTTCAATTGGATTCATCCTTCAATGAAACTATTATTGATGCAAAAGAACTTGCTACCAAAATTGATGTGGAGGCTAATTTGAATCAACAATAACATGACGCTACGTTAGAAGAAGGAAAAGGAACTTCTTATACGAAGCACAAGATGAACCCATCAAAGATCCAAAAGAAAAATATAAAATAGATTTTTTTATTTTACAATCGATCAAGCACTAAATGCACTAGATGCTAGATTTGAACAACTTAGTAATCATAGTAACTGTTTTCAATTCTTATATAATATATACAATTTAAATATCATGTCCAAAGAAATGCTACTAAAACACTAAGAATTTAGAATGCATTTTAACTGATGGTGATTCTGTTGACATAAATGGGGTAGAATTAGCAGAGGACATTTCAGCAGTATCTGCACTTTTGGGCAAAAAAGAAAGCCTAATGAATGTACTGAACTTAATTACAAAGTTAAATTTTACCCCAAATCTTACTATTGCTTTAAGAATATTGCTAACGATACCAATAACTGTAGCAAGTGGTGAAAGGAGTTTCTCTAAGTTAAAATTAATTAAGAACTTATGTTCAACTACTATACAAAATCGTCTTAATGGTTTGGTCATGTTGGCAATTGAGCATGAAATTGCTGATTAAGTAAATTTAAAAGATGCAATAAAAAACTTTTTTCTTACTTTCAGTTCTGCAAAGCGTTTTGTGATTTTAGCGGAGTTTATGTTACCTTGTTTTATTTTCAAAATAATGACATTTTGTTTGTGCAATAATACATTTTTAATAGCATTTAAAAATGTAAAAAATTATATGGTTAACAATTTGTGGCTAGGTACAGATATTTCTTAATTAATTTCTACTGTTTTGTACTGCTTGATTATCAATGTTATGTTTCTTTCTAAATATATGCTTTTGTTAAAATTTAAATAAAATGATTTGATTTTGTTGAAAATAAAAAAATATGTACTTTTATTTAAATATATATATATTTAAATAAAAGTACATATATACATACATATATATATATATGTGTACTTTTATATATACGTACATATATATATATTCTTAAGGGACGGCAATTTTTCTTTTTGTCCGGGGCAATGTAACCACTAGAGTGGGCTCTGGTGGGGGTTTCAAGATTGACTATAAAACTTAATGTTATTCTTGCAGCAAAGTTGTTGGTGTAACTCAACTTCATATTTGTATTGAATTTTGGAGTTTGTATCATTAACTGGACAAGATGGAAGTGATACAATTGAATGAATTTAGTTGGGATGTTAATGCATGCACAATAAAGATAATTAATAGTACCAGGAATTATAACATCATACACTATATTGTATACAGTTTAATATCTAGTGGAACAGCAGTGTAAAGAACTTTGCTACTCTAACAAGCCAAGTTTCCAAGTAACAAATGGATAGTCAAAATTTATTTTATATCAATCAAAAGAACAGTTGCTGATTAACCAGAATCATCAAAAAATAATTGATTTTCTGTAATGTTGTTGATTTTATCCATATTTGCCTGAAGTATTATTGAATAATATTAATTCAATAATTAAGATTAGAAAATTTAAATGAAATAGTATCTTTGACAAACTCGTAACAAATTTCAGCTAAGTATTGATGACACTTAATCAAATTCTTGTCTGAATTGTATAATTGCAAGTTTCACTCTTGTTTGCTGCTATGTTATGATTCTTAAAAAAATCAACACTTTTATTACTGAATTTGATTTAGGAATAAATGTTCTATCAAGTGATACAAAAAATCCTGTTTTTGATTTGTTACTCTAAAATTTGTTTTGTAAACTAATTTTAATGTGAAGACGTATTTTGAGATTTCAGTCAATTGAAGCTGTATTCACTTCATATGAAATATGATTTGGTGCTTTTGATCACAAAGATTGTGGTGTATTGATACATCAATACAATACATGAAAACTAAAATTTCTTCAAAAGTATAGTTTTCATGGGATTATTTAAATCAGCTTGTTGAAAAATACGTTATTGAGATTTTATTTTTAATTCTTTGTTTTCAAGCATAATAGCTCAGAACAGCTCATAAACTATAAATGTTATTTTGTTCCAAACTCTTATATGTATAGATCAAAACATACTCTGATGTGATTTGTGACATTTTGCATATTGTGGAAAAATGAAAATTTTTGATCCTATGCCTTTATATATTATGAAAACTCAAATTTGGTCAAAATGCCTTTCTAACTTATCACCCTTGATATATGGTGTAGTATTTAAAATAATATAGATACATTTTACAAATATTTGTTTGCTAAAAAATATTTTATTGCAGTGTCAATTCAATTGTGGGAAGAAAGAGAGCGTAGAATTTTATATTCGTTAGTTAACTGCGTTCTTTCTTTGAAGGTAAGTTTTCTGATGATTATGTTGTAGAGAAAAATACAAATAATTTTGTGTGTCTTGAGGGAAAATTTAGGACTACTGTAGACTCCATGGGTCATTCTGTGTAAAAATGCTATATCAACATAAGTATGATTCTCAGTAGTTACTGTTACTCACAGCCAAACTTTGATAATCATTACATTAATACGAGGGCTGTTCGGAAAGTTCGCGGCCTCAAATAGAACAACAAACAAAATAATGTTAAAACTTTTTTATTTTTTAATGTAGACTCCTTTGTTAGCAATGCACTTATTCCAGCGATGTTCTAGCTTTTTTATGCCATCACAATAGGTCGATTTGTCAAGGTGTGCAAAATACTCGTTCACTTCAGAGATGACTTCGTCATTTGAGTGGAATCTCTTTCCAGCCAAGAATTTTTTTAGGTTTGGAAAAAGGTGGAAGTCACTGGGGGCCAAATCAGGTGNAACAAAGACCCTTTTGTTGCCAGATTGAATTCAAATATCTAACTTAAACAGTTAGACATTTGAATTTTTTCTGTGTGTTTTAATCCCCACAAGATGTTAGAAACATTGATTTTTAGATGAGCACTATCGTTACTTTTTGCCTGCGAAGCGGGTCCTTGCAGCTAGATTCTAGATTACTTACAAAAACAGTCTTTTATATATATAAAAAAACTATATTACATACAAATAAAAACCCAGTGAAGTGGGTCCTTGCAGCTAGTATACCATAAAAATGTAATTTTGGAAGAGAGACACTAAATAGCATATTAACCTGATAATACTAACTACACACTAAAGATAGCTTTCCATGGAATTGTTACAAATGGTAACTGACTCAATTGCATTGAAAATAAATTTTGTCTAAGAAATAAAATACTCAACTTGAGCTATGGTTTACAAAAAAATTGGCCCAATCACTGTAACAGACATCTCTATATATGCCTGAAAATATTACTCCTCTGAAAAAATTGCAGGCAATAAATTATGTGCACCTAGCATTTGCATACAATTACCACTTTGTGGGTCCTCCCTTAGCAGCAAACATGTTGACAATTCATGTAGGCACCAATATGATGTAGGCACAGCAAAGATCTTGTGGAATGTTGGGCCACACTTCCTGAGAACGGTCTTCAGCTGATCTTTTGTTTGGGGCTTGTGTTTTTACATCTCTTTCTTGAGGGAACATAAAAGGTCCTTGATTGGGTTCAGATCAGATGAATTTGGAACTCAGGACTTGGACTCTGTTTTGGCAAGGACAAGCAGTAATGGAAGATGTGGCTGGAAGATCACATCTCCCTGCAACTGAATAAAGGCTATGGAAGGCAGTAAATGCCATTGCAAAATTGCCTGGTAACATTGTGCATTGATAGTTCCATCATACAGAACAAAATCACCAATATTAGAATACTCAAAACACCCTCACAGTTGAACCATGCTTGGAAAAACTTGACTTCCTGCTTCACAGTTTTGGGTTAGTCCTTCATTTGGCTGGTGGATGACTCTCTGTCCAATATTTTCATAAAAGACTAGAAAGGGCAACTTGTCAGACCAAATACTCTTTGCCATTGAGTTCTGGCCAGACAGTTCTGACCCTCTTCATCATTCTAATATTATGTATCTAGAAACATAATATTAGAATAATATAATAATCTTTTTTACAATGTAATGTAGTTGTAAAAGAACTTGTAACCCAAAAAGAATCTTCTTTAAACTGAAGATGGACAGAACTGTCCAAAATGCATAATAAATAAAAAACAGTTAAAAAAAAGTCTTTTGGTGTCCAATTGAAAACATTTCCCAAAAGGTATGATATGTTCTCAGATTAGAAGCCAATATAGAAGCTTGATAACATTAAAATGATATAGTGAAACATTTGCTTCTTAATTAATGCATTCTGTTCAACACATTAAGCCATTAATTCTTGCCTGACAGAAATGAAGATTTACTTAAGACTATGAATGCACCCCACAATTCAGATATACTTGATAGAAGAACATAACAATTAGTTAGAAATGTTATTAGCCAAACACTCTAGCACGGGTCTTAAACTCAAACACAGCAAGGGGCCAGTCAAATACATGTACAGGTAACCCCCGTATAACACGGTAGTTACGTTCCAAAAAATTGCCGTGTTATGCGAATCCGTGTTATACGAAACAAAGAACTAATACGAAAAGGAGGGTTAGGTTCCAAAAATTAAAAAACATGCTAGTATATTTTCATAATTAAGATAAATATCTTCATTAAAATTTTTTTAAGTGATACATATTAATATAAATTAAACAATGTTTTCTTCGTCATCACTAAAAACACTATTAATTAACCGAGAGCGTTTTCTTTTTGGCAAGTTATCCTTATCCTCTGAGCATTTTTCTGCATTATCTTCAGATCCATGCTTTACCTTTTGCAAAATGTATGTAATTTTAGATTGCTTGCTTCTAGTTAAAAGGTCTTTATAAATTTCCTTATATGGTGCTAAGCACTTATGAAGAATAAAGCAAGTATGGAATAAGGGAAAAACATTCGGCAACATCAGAAGCAGAAGCGTCGCGATCTGGCAACATTGAAACAAGTTTCGAGAAGGACCACGTGTATCGACAGAAGGCGAGAAGAGAAAATTTACATACTTAAGTACTAAATAGTTCACGAAAATAATAATTTTCGTGAACTATTATTAGTTTAAGTATGTAAAAATTTATTACATTTCCTGTTGTACGAGGGTTTTACCCAATTCTCGAACCGTGTCAGAGTGAATCCGTGCTATAAAAGTACCGTGTTCTATGGGGGATGGTACCAATTTTCGAACCGTGTTAGAGCAAATCCGTGCTATAGAAGTGCCGTGTTATACAGGGGTTACCTGTATATTAGATGCAGGCCATATTCAATATTATAAGATAAACTAAAACATACTGTAATTTTAAAAAAGGCTCTAACAAAGACCCTTTTGTTGCCAGATTGAATTCAAATATCTAACTTAAACAGTTAGACATTTGAATTTTTTCTGTGTGTTTTAATCCCCACAAGATGTTAGAAACATTGATTTTTAGATGAGCACTATCGTTACTTTTTGCCTGCGAAGCGGGTCCTTGCAGCTAGATTCTAGATTACTTACAAAAACAGTCTTTTATATATATAAAAAAACTATATTACATACAAATAAAAACCCAGTGAAGTGGGTCCTTGCAGCTAGTATACCATAAAAATGTAATTTTGGAAGAGAGACACTAAATAGCATATTAACCTGATAATACTAACTACACACTAAAGATAGCTTTCCATGGAATTGTTACAAATGGTAACTGACTCAATTGCATTGAAAATAAATTTTGTCTAAGAAATAAAATACTCAACTTGAGCTATGGTTTACAAAAAAATTGGCCCAATCACTGTAACAGACATCTCTATATATGCCTGAAAATATTACTCCTCTGAAAAAATTGCAGGCAATAAATTATGTGCACCTAGCATTTGCATACAATTACCACTTTGTGGGTCCTCCCTTAGCAGCAAACATGTTGACAATTCATGTAGGCACCAATATGATGTAGGCACAGCAAAGATCTTGTGGAATGTTGGGCCACACTTCCTGAGAACGGTCTTCAGCTGATCTTTTGTTTGGGGCTTGTGTTTTTACATCTCTTTCTTGAGGGAACATAAAAGGTCCTTGATTGGGTTCAGATCAGATGAATTTGGAACTCAGGACTTGGACTCTGTTTTGGCAAGGACAAGCAGTAATGGAAGATGTGGCTGGAAGATCACATCTCCCTGCAACTGAATAAAGGCTATGGAAGGCAGTAAATGCCATTGCAAAATTGCCTGGTAACATTGTGCATTGATAGTTCCATCATACAGAACAAAATCACCAATATTAGAATACTCAAAACACCCTCACAGTTGAACCATGCTTGGAAAAACTTGACTTCCTGCTTCACAGTTTTGGGTTAGTCCTTCATTTGGCTGGTGGATGACTCTCTGTCCAATATTTTCATAAAAGACTAGAAAGGGCAACTTGTCAGACCAAATACTCTTTGCCATTGAGTTCTGGCCATGACAGATGATCCCTATCCCATAAAAACTGCTTCCTTTGCTGAACTGGCATCAACATAGGCTTTCTTGTATGAAGTGTTGCCCAACATTCCACAAGATCTTTGCTGTGTCTACATCATATTGATGCCTAGATGAGTTGCCAACATGTACGCTACAAAGGGAGGACCCACCAAGTGTAATTGTATGGAAATGCTAGGTGCACATAACCCATATCATGTAACCTGTTCCTAGCAGTTCATCAAGATATAAGTCATCCTATTCATTTGCTCCACAGTTCTTCCACTTGCAGCTTCCAACCATCATACTAGGTCTGTATTTCATGACAAACCAATGCTGACAGTAGTCATTTGCAATCTGCCATTACTGCATCTAGGATTCATTATAAAAACCAGTTTCTTCATAGTATTTGAGGAAGATTCTGATAGTAGACTCATTCAAACAATTCCCAAACAATCTGCTATATAGTTGTTCTGTTTTGTCATTTCTGGGGATCTTATAGCATACTTGCAGTCAGCCTGTGTTGTTCCATTTTTTACATTTTGAACAATGCAGAGACTACACAAGATTTTATAGTTCTCTTTGTTTGCATACTGCCAATTGAGCAATGTCTGCATGTAAATTTAATGCCTGCAAATTTTTGGAGGAATAATGCTTTCAGGCATATATAGAGATGTCTGTTACAGTAATTGAGCCACATTTTTTTGTAAAAACATAGCTCAAGTAGAGTATTTTATCTCTTAAATGAGTTTCATTTCAAATGCAAATGATTCCAGTTTTCTTACCATTTAAAACAACTACAAATGGGATACACCTATTTATTGCCAAGATTCAATTTTTAAAAATTTCTAAAAAATTAACCTCTGTTATGAGGTTATTGAACTATAAGGTTCAATTTATAAATTTTATAATAGTTTTACATCTTTTCTTCTTAACTGTTTATATAAAATTTTAAACATAAAATTATACAAACTTTTATTGTAATTTAAGGATTACGTCATGGCCGTAAAGTTGTTAGATCTTTTGATACAAAAAGATGAGTCTCACAAACCACAGCTTCTTTCAGCCTTTGGTAGATTATATTTACAGGTAACGTTCATTTATTATTGTTAAACATGAAATATAATCTCTTATAAAAATATTTATTTTTATGTGCATTAGTTAGGAGATGTCAAAGCTGCCCAAGAATGTTTCAGTCAAGTCACCATAATCCGATCATCTCTACCAAAAGAAACATGGCATGAAGTTGAAGAGCTTGTCAACAAGTAAACTTTTTATCTATTGATTAGGCAAATTAATAATATATCTATTTAATTAAGAACAAGGAACTTTTTTTAGAGCCATGATGGCAATTGCACAGAATGGATATGCCGATGCATACAATTACTATAAACAGGCTTATTCTTTAGATTCAAACAAACCAATGGTAATATTCTTTGTTGCTTTGTATTAAAACCGTATATTTTTTATGATTTATCTTACCTTATCTTACCCTACAGCTACTAAATAACATGGCCATCTGTTTGCTGTACATGGGAAAACTGAAAGAGGCACTGGCTCTGCTCGAGAAAACTGTACAGGGCAACACACCCATGTGTCTGCACGATGGGATCATTTTCAACATATGCACATTATACGAACTGGAATCTTCTCAGAGCTTTTCTAGAAAACAGACCATGCTTAATCTGGTGGCAAAACATGCTTCTGACAATTTCAATACTTGGTGTTTGAAAATTCAACCATCTCACTAGATATTTTAATTAATACAGCATACACACAATATTCCTCTATGAAAATGTTATTCACAGTACTTAATACTTCTTACAATTAATTTTGAAATTACAGTATTATTTGTCAATGTAAAAAGATGTAAGTATTTACAAATTATTTCAGTCATTTTAATTTCTTAGAATCCAACCAAACCACATTATTTCAAACTGCATCTGACTTTGTGTAGATTCCTGGAAAAGAAATGTTTTAGACTTATCTCTAAATTTTGAAATAAAACTATTTAAAATTACCTTGTCACTTAAGACTTTAGGATGACACACGTTTTCTGCATCAGATATCTTGATATTCAGCTCTCTCAAATATATCTAATTATAAAATATTTGAATTAATATCAGTTTGACTATTTTGTAACTAAGCATCTTTGATATAATACAAATTAAATCTCTGTAGGTATACAACTGCAAAAACTACTGTAATTTAAAAACATAATGACTATTTCTTTTTAAAGTTCAAATCTCTGTAAACAATCTTAACAATTGATTTGAATTTTACATGAGACAATATAATTTTTCAGCATTTGACACTGATTTTGTGCTCCAACTCCAGACCATAACACTACCATCTTTAAATTTTATGGTTGACACAGCACAGTCCTTCAGATGCTGTTCACTGGACATCCACCAAGTCTAGACATGATCATCAGAATGCCAAATCATGTATCCTGATTTGTCACTCCATAATGCTGTCTTCCACTCTGATTGACTGTCCAATGATGCCATTCTCTGCACCAAGTTAAATGATGGCAAGCATTGACTGATGCAAATATATATATATATATATAGTCTAGTATGCTATTTATGCCAAGTGATATTAATAAGAAGTATAATTCACTGTGAACGGTGTTACTAGGGTTTCTCAAATGGGATCCTGGTTGTTTTTTAACCTGGGAAATTTTTCTTATCCCGGGAAATCCTGCAAATTTCTTAAAAATTCACTTTTTTTTTTATTTTGTGTTAAGGTTGAGGAATTTTGCAAATAGAAAGCATAATTAACTCATTCACTGTCAGAATACATTTGTATTTATTAATTTTAAACCTACCTATTAGTTTTTTTTTAATTTTTGCTCGTTATAGCATGTCACAAATGGTCAATAATCAATATATAGCTTATTTGTGGCAGGACTATAAAAATTCTTTACTTGTCGGAACCTGTAATATCTGGAATAATTGTGCTTACGCTGTCTTGAGTTTTAACCATGCCCAGTAGCTTCAATAAATGCCTGACGCCAGATTGTGCAAATTGGGCAAGGATACAAACGAGTACAAAGTCTGCAAGTATGAAGTTTTTCTTCATAAACCTGATTATTAAAGCCAAATGAATTGCCGAATTATCGAGCTCTAAGCTTGATGCCGCTATTAAAGCAGCCAAGGTAGACAAATCAAGAATACTAGAGAGCGAAAGAAGTACTACAATCTCGAAAACGAACTCGAAATCTTCCAGGCTACAGGTGAAAAAACACATAATATCTGTCTTCTCTTAAATGCATTAAACACTATTCCAATCACATCAATTGAATCGGAAAGGGCATTCTCGGTGGCAAGACTTTTCATTACTAAAATAAGAATTAGAGTGAGTTATCGGAGTATTGACCATCTTTGCTTTTTAAAATCTTATAAAAGTTTGCAATATTTTGTATTATATTTTATTTAAAAAACGAAAATTACCTTCTAAATTAGAAGTTCATTTTTTTAATTTTTAACTCAATTCAAAGCATTTTGTTGTTGTTGTTGTATGCAGTTTCCAGCAAACTTTAATTTAATAAATTTTCTACGTAATTCAAAGGTAATTTTTATTATATAACTTACACAGCATTATTAATATGATTTTGGAGGTTACAGAACTTTAAAATTACTTTAAAAAATGAAAAATAATTAATTCTATCCTGGGAAACAGTTCACTTTTATCCCGGAATCCTGGGACAAGCAAAAGACCGGGAAATGAGAAACCCTAGGGGTTACCAAATATTTTTCTTCCGAGCACTTTCGACGAATGTATTTCTGTCGTTTTCAGGCAAATAGGAGATTTTTATATTGAACATGAATGTTTGAAACAGAGAAGAACACACACAAAATTTAAATAAAACAATTTTTTTGGATGTCATTCGATATGAATCCAGTACAATGTTGTGAATGTGATGTAATACAGCGCATACGTGGTATTGTTTCCCGTCAATAGTGTGACAGATGATGTAAATCACCGTTTAATCGTTTGTATAGGGCGATCCATATGTTGGGCAGTTCCAGCATAGATGCATTTTACGTTTCCAACGTTGTTATATATAGCGACTCCCATATAAAGAGGAGCTTTCGGTTGTTGCAGGTCCTGAGTATAGTAGAGTGAGCCCATAACGGGTTGTAATTCATGTCGCACACCCTTCTTGCAAGTTCAGTGTTGCACCGTCTTTTTGCCACATCATCCTGGTGTTTGGTAAGCAGATAGCCAACATTCTTGCTGTGGCCGCAATGTATCTCGTATTATTCCCCGTTATGGGATTTTCCAATGGAACCGCATTAATTCCTGACTTCTCAAAGATGGAGAACTTGTCTCGGTCATTGCAGAGGAGTCTGCACAAGCTAGATAATGGAGAAAGAGGCAGGAGCAGACTAGACCATGTTGTCTAAACATGTGGCAAATGTGTCTCTAATATATAGTCTCAAAAGTTTCTAATATATATCTCTCCATCAATTATATGTGGGTAAAAGAAAGTAATGCGACTATAACTTTCTTAGATCTGTGTATACATAGATCCTCGGAAAAACTACTTTTCTCAGTTCATCACAAGAATGCTCTTCTCAGTATAGTGGCAATGGCGGCATCAACATAACATGCAGGCTGGAATGCATTTGCTGGGATGATGTATGGTACATATTAAACTTGTGATGAACCAATAAAAGTAGTGTTTCCGAGTATCTATGTATGCGCAGATCTAAGAAAGTTATAGCCACATTACTTTCTTTTACCCACATATAATTGATGGAGAGATATATATTAGAAACTTTTGATACTATATATTAGAGACACAATTATTGCCACATGTTTAGACAACATGGTCTGGTCTGCTCCTGCCTCTTTCTCCATTATCTAGCTTGTGCAGACTCCTCTGCAATGACCGAGACAAGTTCTCCATCTTTGAGAAGTCAGGAATTAATGCGGTTCCATTGGAAAATCCCATAACGGGGAATAATACGAGATACATTGCGGCCACAGCAAGAATGTTGGCTATCTGCTTACCAAACACCAGGATGATGTGGCAAAAAGACGGTGCAACACTGAACTCGCAAGAAGGGTGTGCGACATGAATTACAACCCGTTATGGGCTCACTCTACTATACTCAGGACCTGCAACAACCGAAAGCTCCTCTTTATATGGGAGTCGCTATATATAACAACGTTGGAAACGTAAAATGCATCTATGCTGGAACTGCCCAACATATGGATCGCCCTATACAAACGATTAAATGGTGATTTACATCATCTGTCACACTATTGACGGGAAACAGTACTAAGTATGCGCCGTATTACATCACATTCACAACATTGTACTGGATTCATATCGAATGACATCCAAAAAAATTGTTTTATTTAAATTTTGTATGTGTTCTCTGTTTCAAACATTCATGTTCAATATAAAAATTTATTTGCCTGAAAACAATGGAAATACATTTGTTGAAAGCGCTCGGAAGAAAAATATTTGGTAACACCGTACACAGTGAGTTCTACTTCTTATTAATATATATATTATAATATAATCTTTTTTTTTTATTGGTGGCTTGTGGGCCCAACATAACCTTGATAACCCACAGTGAACAGTTCTGTCATATAGAAGTCATTAGCAATGATTACTGCATCTGACAACACACTTGAGAGTTTGGAAATCCAATCTGTTAATTTTCTGGGCTCACCGTCTGGCAGATCATGTTGTTCAGTTGCATTTCCACTTGACCATAGAATATTTACAGGGTCTGTATAGGTAATTCCATCTGTGATTCCCTGACTTATTAACGTTCACTTATTTCTGCATTTCCCCTTTCCATTATGTAATATTTGGCCAAGTCTATTTAAGCCCATTTTGTACACAATTTTATAAATTTTTTATTAAAAACACTTTCACTTACAAAAAATGAAAAAATTGGTGTAAAATCAATTACGTAATTAGCTATGTCATTTCTACATCATATAAAAAATTCACAATTTAATGTAAATTTTATTTAAATAAGAAAAACTTGCATTGTGTCCTAAAATCAAATTTTCTTAACTCTACAGCGATATTTTGGTGTACTTCCAAAATTCCGTAGATGGAAATTTGCAATGAGAAAGGACATATCACAAATAATAATCCTGTCAATTTTGATGGATTGATGATCTCCACATACTGTATGTGGCCAGCGGTAAAGAATACAATGAATAAACATACATAAATTGTATGAGGTCCACCATGCAATCCAAAAATGTCTCATACACAATAGCGTTAAACTGACTGACAGTTCTTTGTCTCCTTACTACATCAACTGACTGCAATGAGTTAACCAAATGTCATGCAGGTCAAAAAATTGGGAGAGTTGTGTATGAGACACAATCACAATTGTTTGAGGTGTGAATCAGTCTTTGTGTTAAGAAGGTTGAAGGATAAAATGTAAACAAATAAAATCTTCGTGGTTAAAGTCAATATCTATCGGTTTAAGCGGTGGTGCACTCCAAATATTCATGTCAGAATTGATGTGCTTGGTTTTCTTACGCTCTCTATACAATCTGCATCATTTGGATTAGTCATTTTGGGCTTTTCTAATTCCTTTTAAATTTAAATTACAGTAGAGTCCCACTAGTCTGAACATGTTTCGGTCGGCAGAGAGGAAATTTTTTCTAACAAGAGGTCCACTTAGAGGTGTTCCCCTCTCTTTCCTCAGTGAATCAGGTGAATGAGGCTTCATCAAGCTTGTCAAACATTGAAGGCCTTGCTGTTTGTCAATTTTCAACTTATTTTTTTGAAGTAGAGGCACAAAACTGCTCAATTTTTGTGTGTAGTTTTTTTTCCAGTCAGTTATTGTGGCCTTGCCCATTGCAAACTTTACTGTCAATTTTGTTGCCCTTTCACCCTTGTCCAGCCTTCTCAAAACATCCAGCTTATCTTTCAACGTACACATTATGTGTTTCCATTTCATGGCCATTGTAGCAACAGACTAAACTAAACTAAACTATAATAATGTAGAGCAAAAAGTACATTCAAACATCCACAATTAAGCATGCTAACTCACATAGTAACACCAGTCAACTGATTGGAATCCTGAACTGTATGTATTAAAAACAT